AATTAGAAAGATTGAATGGGATACACACATTGCTTCTAAAATAACAGTCGTTAAAATAGAAATACCACAGAAGACACAAGAGGCCATATTGTATACATTTGAAAATATCAAACCTTCCTTGATTATAACTTGAACAAAACTGAAGGCCTTCCATTATGAAATCTCAAGACACTCTGCTAAATAGCATCAGTGTTCAAAACGAGTCTCTCCTTCCCATATTTATACAATTAAAAATGCTAATTTTTTCCAATGTTCTACAGACATATTGGGAGATGGACTGTAAATATGCTAGTTGCTATTTTCACGTTGGGTGTGGAAAATGGCTGCAAGCTCAATATTGTGCAAATGAAAACCGGCTATTTGCAGCATTCACTTTAATTTAAAAGCATCCCTTTAAATTGTTCAATTGTCCAATTGGGATATGGCACAAATTATCTCTGCATTTACGTACACGCCCTTTTCTAATGAGGCAATTAGCCTTAACTAATGAGCCCATTTGCCAGCAGCAGGGCTGTCTGTTCCTTGTTCTATCTCTCCAGCGCTTTGCAACCATATAAGGATATGGTGGCTTTATCCAAAGCTTGCTAAGCTATGGAGCAAAGCACGGAAGTGATCTTTGCAGTTTATAGACCTCGACAATAAAAAGGGATGCTTGAATTGACTTTGCAGTGCACTTTAATTTTAAGTGTCTATGTCCCTTCAATAATAAAGGGAAACTCCATGATACTTACCATTACTACTGCCTCCATAAAAAGATACGCAGCCTTGTCTATATTGTATATTGTGTATTTTGTATTCCAAAGTACCAAAAGGCAAGACAAGAAACAATGGATGGAAACTAACCAATAAGAGAAGCAACCTAAAAATAAGGAGAAATTTCCTAACAGTAAGAGCAATCAATCAATGGGATAGCTTGCCTTCAGAAGTTATGAGTGTTCCATCACTGGAGGTTTTCAAGAAGAGACTGGACAGCCATTTGTTCAAGTAGAGGGTTGGATTAGAAGACCTCCAATGTCCCTTCCAACTCTATTCTTCTATGTTCTATATTCTATGTTCTGTATGAACATGTTATTTATCATAACAATAATATCAGATCTGGATGACAATTGTCCAAACCACTGTTTTTCTGCCATCTGGTGGACTTTATCTTCCTAGGTTCAAAAATATACAGGGATAATACTCTACTGTGAAATAAAGAGATGTCTACTGCATAGCAGAAGAGGTGTTTTGATATAAAATGCAGAAATATCACAGTGACAATAAAGGCACACATGTTAAAATAATCAGTTGTCCCAGTGGTACTGTTCAGCTTTGAAACCCAGATTATCAGAAAGACTGAATGAAAAAAGAAGTTGATTTCTTTGAATTGTGGTGATGAACAGAATTGTTGAGAATACCTTGAATTGATAAAAAAAAAAATGCACATAATTCAATACTACACAAAGTGAAACCAGACACTCACTTAAATGAATGAATGAAATAATGAAACTCTAACATAAATGTTGGGGATAGATATTGCAAAGAGTTGTTGAAGATGATCCTGATGCTTGGAAAATTAAAGGCAATCTCAGAAGTGGCTAACAGTAGACAAGATGATTTGATGCTATCACTATACAAGCAGGAGCTTATAAACCTTCAGAGGAATGACTGATATGCAATGCCATCAAAATGTGGTCTGTCAGGACCCAGAGAGGCAGAAGGGATTGAATGACTGAACAAATGCTCATCCAGGTTTTTTGCAACCTATGCTGCAGTTGTCACCTGCCTGAAAACTGTTAAGACCACTAATGACCAAAATTACTCATCATTAAAGTAGTGGTCAGTTTTCAAAAGAGCCTATCATAATTCAATGGTGAAAAAAAGTAAGGTTCTACATTTAGGCAAGAAAAAAACAAATGCACAGGTATTAGGGAATGGTGTTCTCATAGATAATCTGGCCCTGGGCTTTATAGGGCTTTAAAGGTGATTACTACCACTTGAACTGCACTTTGAAAGAAACTGGAAGCCTGTGCAGTTCGCACGACAGAGATGTCACATAAACAAACTGAGGGGCATCCTTCACTGTACACACTGCCACATTCTGCACCAATTGAAGTTTCCAGGTTGTCTTCAAGGACAGCCCCATTTAGGCTGCATTTCAGTAATGCAAGTGGGAGATGGCCAAGGCATGAGTGAGCAAGGCTTCTTGGTCAAGGAAAGAGCTCAACTGATGGACAAGATAAATCTGTGCAAAGTCCCACCCTGGCCAAATTGTGCACCAGTTCAATCTGGGGAAGTGCCATCCCATCCACCCAAAAACTCACAGCCACTCTGTCATGCCACAATTGAATCAAAGCTGGTTCCTCCTTATCCAGACTCTTACAGCTGCCAGGCACTCAATCAACAGTGCCACAGCATCAGTTGTCCAGCTAGGGATGGAGATATATAACTGGATATCACCAATATGCTAATGATACTGGTGCTTATGCTGATGGATGACCTCTCCTAACAGTTTCATATTAATATTAAAAAGGAATGCCCAAAGCCTTGAGCCTTGGGATATCCTGCATTGCAGGGACCTAGGGTTTGACCTTTTTTCTCCTATCAACTCCAACTGGAACCAGCCACTAAGGAAGGAGAATCACTGTGTCAGAATCCAATTATATTTCATTTCTAGCTACCTACTTTGAAAAAAAAACATTTCTTACTCTCTCTGGATTCTGTCATACTACGAAAGGGGAGGAGGAAGCAAGGGGGTTTTATGACTCTCACTTCCTTCATTTAAACTACAAAGTGACTGGATGTTGACTCTTATCAAGAGGATTGAACATAACAATATGGCCATCGCCTTTCATCTACTCTCTCTCTGAAGCCTCCCTTTTGCCAGCAGCGAGGGAAAAGGGGTAGAACAATGCAACACCTGAGATCTGGGAAAAGAGAGGATGAGTGATCGTCGCCCGGAAGAACTGTGAGCTGGGGGCTGCTTGGAAACACTTAAAACATTAAATGGTAGGGGTTGATCCCTCAGATCCTGTCTAGAATGCCTGCAATCATTTTTTCTTAATAAAGATGCCTGTTGGAAGAAATATTCCAAGAGTTTTGTCTTCTTAAGATGTAAAGTGAGGTGGGTCCTTACACACTGTAATCCTGTGCCTCCCATTCCAAACCCTTTAAGCTGATGAATAGAATAGAATAGAATAGAATAGAATAGAATGGAATGGAATGGAATGGAATGGAATGGAATGGAATGGAATGGAATGGAATAGAACAGGACCTTGGAGATCTTCTAGTTCAGTCCTCTGCTCAAGCAGAACCTATACTATCTCACACAAGTGACTGTCCAGTCTCTTCTTAAAAACCTCCAGTGATGGAGCACCCATGATTTCTGAAGGCAAAGCTGTTCCACTGGTTGATTGTCCTCACTGTTAGGAAGTTTCTCCTTAATTCCAGGTTGCTTCTCTCTCTGGTCAGTTTCCAACCATTGTTTCTTGTCCTGCCTTCTGATCCAGAAGGATACCATGGTTGATGGTATGGAAAGCTGCTGAGAGGTCCAAGAGGGCTAGAATGATTGCACCACCTCCATCCCAAGCCCTCCAAAAGTCATCAACATTTAATATTATGGATTCCTTTGCCTTGAAGGAGGAGGATGGCAGGGAAGTGGGTCTGATGGGTGGAAGATGGGGAGGACAGGAGATGGACAGAAAATGGATAGGTATGCAGTATTCTCCTTTACTCTGACACTCTGACAATAATTTAGAAGTGATTTGGACTTCGTGTGAGCACAGTAATTCTCTGCTATTCATTAAAAGCCCAACTTTTAACAGGGTAATGCTCATGCCTGAAGAAAGATGCCCTTTTAAAAGAATTGCGTTAAGCAGTCAACCAAACCCTCACATTCTATCACTTGGGGAATCAGAATTGATCTGACGTTTGAGGTCTTGCAGTGGACTTAGATGGCAAGTGCTCTAGGCAGGAGCAGCACATTGGAGGATGCAACCTTATAGGCTGGCCTCAGGCTAGTCACTTGCTTTCAAGGGCAATGCAAGCATATTGTTCTATCACTTTACTGAAACAGTCAACAGGAACGTCAGTTGCTTATTGAATATCTTGTGTTCCATTTGGACTCCTATTCAGAAGAAAGCTCCTTCCAACCCTTCAATTAATCTAATTCCAGACAAAATGTTGCTATGACCCAGGATGGTCTTTGAGGGCCACAAGTGGTATATAAGTCTAAGTCAGGGGTCCTCAACCTTGGCAACTTTAAGACTTGTGGACTCCAACTCCCAGAATTCCTCAGCCAGCTTTGCTGGCTGAGGAATTCTGGGAGTTGAAGTCCACAAGTCTTAAAGTTGCCAAGGTTGAGGACCCCTGGTCTAAGTACTGTTGCTATCATCAAGGCTACCATTTTCTGATATAAATAGATGGACTCTTCCAAACTCGCTCATATTCTCCATCTCTGGAAGTCTGTAAGAAGAGGCTAGGCAGCTAATTTGCATGGGCTGATTCCTTGTACAATGCAGAAGGTTGAGCTAGATAATTCATATAGCTAGAGGCCTTTCCAGGTCTATAAGTCTATGTTGGAATCACAAAAGAGTCAATGATGAATTGCAACTGTATTTATCTGGTGAAAGTTGAGGTTTTCTGTATAAGGGGGACGAGGTAAGCCCAGAGCATTGAAGGTTAAATAGTGGGGAAAATATCTGATCTGAGCTTCTTAATAAGGGAATAACAGTAAGCTGTGGGGCTGGTAGAATTAATGCTCCTTGTACAATACATAAAACTTTATTTACTGGGAACAAATGTCTTTTGCTTAAGATACAGCTTTTGAAAGTGGGAACTGTGGACATGTTAAAGGAAGACACAGGTGGAGGATAAAGCTTTTCTCCATGCAGGATACAACTGCCTTCTCAAAAGTGTCTGTAAGATGTTTCAATAACTCTAAATATATTGGGATGGGCTACACACATACAGGCACACAAACACAAAGACACCTCTAACAGAACTTTCTTTTCTATTTTCAGTATTCTGGTGAAGTTCCAGAAAACCGGATAGAAGTTGTTGTCGCTAATTTGACTGTGATGGACCGAGATCAACCCCATTCGCCCAACTGGAATGCTGTTTACCGAATAATCAGTGGAGACCCTTCCGGTCATTTTACCATTAGGACTGATCCTGTTACCAATGAAGGCTTGGTAACTGTTGTGAGGGTATGTTTGTCTCTCATTCTCTGGGGACTTTTTCCACAGACAAGTTCTACAGAGATTTGAATTTGGAGGAAAGTTGGTGCAGACTTTGTAGGGATCTGATTCATGAAGGCAACACATTCAATGAATACAACAACCATCATGTAGTAGATCGGGGGTCTTCAAACCTGGCCCTTTTATGACTTGTGGACTTCAACTGCCAGAATTCCTCAGCCAGGCATGCTGGCTGAGGAATTCTGGGAGTTGAAGTCCACAAGTCATAAAAGGACTAAGTTTGAAGACCCTGTAGTAGATGGATGCATGCATGCATGGATGCCTGGATGCATACAATGGATAGACTAGGAGGGAGGGAGAGGAGGGGAGGGGAGGGGATGGGGTGGGGTGGGATACAAAGTGATAGGATGGAATGGGATGGGATGGGATGGGATGGGATGGGATGGGATGGGATGGGATGGGATGGGATGGGAAGGGTGGGTGGAAGGAGGGAGGGAGGGAGGGAGGAAGGAAAGAAGGAATAAAGGGATGGAGGGGATGGAAGAATGGGATGCAATGGGATGGAATAGGTGGATTGACAAACATGTATGTCACTGGAACTGCACAGATATGGGTTCAAGATCCAATAGGAACAGGGCATAACATTATAGCTTTCTTATTAAAAATAAAATTGATTTTTAGAAACAGAAAAAAAATCAAGTCAATATTACATGCAGCTCAAAATTCCATCCAGCCGACTTATAAAGCTTTGCCCGTTCAATGCCATTTTAACATCCCATTAAACTGTTCAAGACTGTATTGTACTGAAATCCTGAATACCATCCTCTCTTAATAATAATAATAATAATAATAATAATAATAATAATAATAATAATAATAATAATAATAATAATAATAATAATAATAATAATAATAAAAATTGGAAAGTACTTTGGAGGTCATCTAGTCCAACCCCCTGCTCAGGCAGGAAACCCTATACCATTTCAGACAAATGGCTGTCTAGTCTCTTCTTAAAAACTTCCAGTGTTGGAGCATTCACCGCTTCTGGAGGCAGGTTGTTCCATTGGTTAATTGTTCTAACTGTCAGGAAGTTTCTCCTTAGTTCTAGGTTGCTTCTCTCCTTGATTAGTTTCCATCCGTTGCTTCTTGTCCTGCCCTCAGGTGCTTTGGAGAATAGCTTCTTTGTGGCAGCCCCTGAGATATTGGAACACTGCTATCATGTCCCCCTTTGTCCTTCTCTTCATTAAACTAGACATACCCAATTCCAGCAACCGTTCCTTATATGTTTTAGCCTCCAGTCCCCTAATCATCTTTGTTGGAGAAGAGACATGAGAAAGATCTCAGAGTTGTAGAAAAAATGTAGCACCACTGGTTTTGACCTACGTCATAAGGTTCACACCGGAATGGTTCCGTAACATTTCACCATATAATACTTCACGTGATCTTGATTCTATCCCTCTGTTAATGCAGCCTAGCACTGTGTTGGCCTTTTTGGCAGCTGCAGCACACTGCTGGCTTCTATTTAAGTGGATGCCGTGAGTATGAATGTGGTGGTCTAGGGGTCATGCAACTCTGTCCAGACTTTGCAGGTCTTCCCATAGTATAAGCTGAGCCATTACTGAAGAAATCTGTACATCACACAAGCGAATCTTAAGGAAACGTGGCAGTTCTATTGGGATAAAATGAGTGCTTTGATCCATATCAGCAAGATTGCCTTGTCAGAACTTTTTTGTCAAGTGGGAATTATCCTCTAGATAAGGCATTAGCTGAAATAAAATTAACTGCAACTGATGGTAGAAAAGTGCAAAGCTTTTGATGTGGACACTGAAATGTCCCCGGATCATATTTTCACACTGACAGCAGTTAGTATGTAATAATAAAAGAAGAACTGTGTTGGATCAGCCAAAGACTAGATTATTCCTGTATCTTATTCTTTATAGTGGTCCAGATTCTTCTGGAATGACCACAAACATATAGCCTTACAGATAGTCCTCAACTTTCAACTATTCGCTTAGTGACCATTTGACGTTACAACACCACTGAAAAAAATGACACGACCATTTTTCACACGTATGACCATTGCAGCATCCCCATGGTCACGTGATCATAATTCAGACGCTTGGCAACTGACAGTTATTTATGACGGTTGCAGTGTCTTGGAATCCGGTGATCACTTTTCGTGACCTTCTGACAAGCAAAGTCAATGGGGAAGCCAGATTCATTCACAACCATGTTACTAGCATAACAACTGCAGTGGTTCACTTAACAGCTGTGGCAAGAAAGAATGGGGCAAAACTCACTTAACAGTTACCTTGCTTAGCAACAAAAATGTTGGGCTCAATTGTGGTCTTAAGTCAAGGATCATCTGTAGTTGCCATGGACACCCACATCTGCCAGGATTTTTTTCCTAAACCCTATTCCACAACACAACATTCCCTAAACTGGTGCCCCTCCACTGTGTTAGATTTTAACTTCCATCATTTCCAGCTAAATCACGCTCCCTGAAAATTCCGGGTATTAAAATCCAGCTTATCTGGGAGGCACCAGATTGAGAAAGCCTTCAATAAATGATAGAACCCTTTAGTTATGTATCTCATCCCATGTACATTTCTCTGAAAATATGTCCAAAGCTATTCCATGCTATAGTTTTAACGGAACAACAGAACAGAATAACTAAATAACAGAGTTGGAAGGGACCTTGGAGGTCTTCTAGTCCAACCCACTGCTCAAGCAGGAAACCCTATACCATTCCAGACAAATGACATTCCAATCTCTTCTTAAAAACTTCCAGTGATGGAGCACCCACAACTTTTGAAGGCAAGTCGTTCCACTGATTAATTGTTCTAACTGTCAGGAAATTACGGGAGTTTTAAGAAGAGATTGAACAGCCAAATAATAATAGTAATAATAGTAATAGTAGTAATAGTAATAGTAATAGTAGTAGTAGGAAGAAGAAGAAGAAGAAGAAGAAGAAGAAGAAGAAGAAGAAGAAGAAGAAGAAGAAGAAGAAGAAGAAGAAGAAGAAGAAGAAGAAGAAGAAGAAGAAGAAGAAGAAGAAGAAGAAGAAGAAGAAGAAGAAGAAGAAGAAGAAGAAGATTGATGATGATGATGATGATGGAAGGGACTTTGTAGGTCATCTAGTCCAACCCCCTGCTCAGGCAGGAAACCCTATACCATTTCAGACAAATGGCTGTCCAGTTTCTTCTTTAAAACTTCCAGTGTTGGAGCATTCACAGCTTCTGGAGACAGTCTGGAATGGTATATAGGATCTCATGCTTGAGCAGGGGGTTGGACTAGAAGACCTCCAAAGTCCATTCCATCTCTATTATTCTATGTTCTAAAAGAGGGGGGAGACCTAACTTTCCCCATCCTGTGTGTGAACGGGGCATTAAAAAACAACAACATTAGAATCAGAAAACAAACCATCCATTGCAGCCTGATCATTCTGCAAGCAGCTTCATCCAGCTTCATCTGGAGGCTTTTAAAAAGAGACCCGAACAGCCACTTGTCTGAAATGGTATCGGGTCTCCTACTTGAGCAGGAGGAGTTGGACTAGAAGACCTCCAAAGTCACTTCCAAGTCTATTCTGTATCTTTTCTGCAGCTTCCATCCTAAGCTCTTCTGCCATTGAAACAAGCCTGCCGAGAGGCATCTATGATGTACAGTTCCAATTTTATTTTTCACTGCAACAAGAACCGTTCCCTCTGTGGCAGAAGATGCTTATCTCCATCACAAGCCTTGTATAAATTAGGCAAGGCGGGGAAAGGATCATGTTGCAGGGTCTGAATAAATTCCCCAAACACGGAATAGAGGTGCTCTGTGGCTGCCTAAAACATTATATGAATGTTGCGAGGAATATAGAAATGAATTTGAAAGAGAGGTGCACTCCGTTATTGTTTGCTTTTCTCCAGACATAATAACTAGAGGATAACTTATTTCTTTGTAGCTAAAAATGCCCTTAGAACTAAAAAACAAAACAAAAAACAAAACCCAAAAGACAATTCAAACCCCACCTTATTTATCTGCATTATATGTACTGCTTAAGTAACTATGGTGATCGTTTCCAAATTAGAAGCCACTAGAAAAGGTTCTTCTAAACTTCTGGAGATATAATCCAAACATAAAGAAAAGTGGAAACGCTACAAGATCTGTAAGTTGATAATGGGTGATTAAGGCAAAGATAAAAGTTTCCCCTGTCCAGTCATGTCTGGCTCTAGGGGGCTGTGCGTATCTCCAACATTGTCTGGAGACACTTCTGTGGTCATCTGCCCAGCATGACTATTTGCCGAGGTTCATGGAACGCTGATACACCAAAGTGTATCTACCCAGATTTGCATGCTTTCAAACGACTAGGTGGGCAGGAGATGAGGCATGTAAGGGGAGCTCACCCCATTGCTCAGTAGCCGGGCCTCAGCGTCTTTAACTGCTGAGCCATCCTGCCCCCTAATGGATGATTAAGGCCAATATTTAATCGCCCATATTAGAAGAATTAAAATAATGCGCATTTATGAATGGAATGGAATGGAGCTGAAAGGGACCTTGGAGGTCTTATAGTCAAACCCCCTGCTTAGGTAGGAAACCCTATACCATTTCAGACAAATGGGTGTCCAGTCTCTTCTTAAAAACTTCCAGTGTTGGAGCATTCACAGCTTCTGGAGGCAGGTTGTTCCACTGATTGATTGTTCTCACTGTCAGGAAATTTCTCCTTAGTTCTAGGTTGCTTCTCTCCTTCATTAGTTTCCATCAGTGCAGTACATCAGTTCATTGAATCCAGATACAACCTAGCCAGCGTAAACACAGTTAACTTCATCTAAGAAATGCCATCAAATCCTTTGACTGAGCAACACATAACAGTTGGTCACCACAATGTAAAAAAGATGTTGAGACTCTAGAAAGAGTACAGAGAAGAGCAACAAAGATGATTAGGGGACTGGAGGCTAAAACATATAAGGAAAGGTTGCTGGAATTGGGTATGTCTAGTTTAATGAAGAGAAGGACGAGGGGGGACATGATAGCAGTCTTCCAATATCTCAGGGGCTGCCCCAAAGAAGAGGGAGTCAAGCTATTCTCCAAGGCACCTGAAGGCAGGACAAGAAGCAACGGATGGAAACTAATCAAGGAGAGAAGCAACCTAGAACTAAGGAGAAACTTCCTGACAGTTAGAACAATTAACCAATGGAACAACCGGCCTCCAGAAGTGGTGAATGCTCCAACACTGGAAGTTTTTAAGAAGAGACTGGACAGCCATTTGTCCGAAATGGTATAGGGTTTCCTGCCTGAACAGGGGGTTGGACTAGATGACCTCCAAGGTCCCTTCCAACTTTATCATTATTATTATTATTATTACTATATGACTAGTAACAATCATTTTTTTTCCTACAAGAAAATGCAAACAAGAAAAAAAAGTGTGTTCAGAAATAAGAACCTCTTCATTCCTCTTGCAAAAAAGATTATTTGTAACTCCAAATGTAGGAAGAGCAGCTTGCTTTCCCCCCCATAAAGAGAAGTTTGTCGCCTGGTCCCAATGAAAATCCCTTCCTGGGTTTTGCATCCCAACACAGGTAGTCCTTGACTTATGACCACAATTGAGTCCCACATTTCTGATGCTAAACAAGACACAGTTGAATTTTGCTCCATTTTATGACCGTCCTTGCCATGGTTGTTAAGTGAATCACTGCAGTGTTTAATTAGTCACCTGGTTGTTAAGTGTATCTGGCTTCCCCATTAACTTTGCTTTACAAAAAGTCACAAAAAGTGATCCTGTGACCCTGGGACACTGCAAGTGTCATAAATACGAGCCAGTTGCCCAGCGTCTGAATTTTGATTACGTGACCACGGGGATGCTGCAATGGTTATAAGTGTGAAAAACGGCCATAAGTCACTTTTTTCAGTGCCCTTGTACTGTCACTAAATGGACCCTTGTAAGTTGAGGATTACCTGCACATTTGAAATGTGAGAAGCCTTTATCTTCTGATGCCTCCGAAAATAATATCCTTTCTGAGGGTATTAAAAATTGTGTTCATTGTTTAGTCCCAGTGGTTTATTCCATATTAAGTTATAAAACTTCTGTCTTTGATTCGGTGTCCTGAATCTGATTGTTTGCAAGGCTGTATATCCTTCTTTTAAGCACTCTCCTAACATTGTACTTGCAGTAAGCTATTCTCTCTTAAAAGCCTTCCAGCAATGTTTCATTTGCTACCCTTAGTGCCAGAATTAACGATGCTATTCCTGGCTTCTTGAGATCTGATCTAATAAGTATCAGAGAGTGCTAACTTAATCGTTACTGATTTTTCCAAATGTGACACTAGCAAGTTTATATCAAGCCATAGATTGCTATGAGGAAGGCTTGAAAGCCAGGGAGAGAGTGGATGGATGGATGGATGGATGGATGGATGGATGGATGGATGGANGGAGGGAGGGAGGGAGGGAGGGAGGGAGGGAGGGAGAGAGAGATGGATGGATGGATGGATGGAGAGATGGAGGGATGGATGGTTGATAGATGGAGAGATGGAGGGAGGGAGGGAGGGAGGGAGCAATGGAAGGAAAGAAGGATGGAGAGATGGTTGGTTGGTTGGTGGATGGATTTTACTTGTCTGATTTCTAAAAATATAAGGATATTTATTGCAAGACAGGCAACCCTTTCTAATTATCGTTACAAATTCCACAACTTTATAACTACAATTTGTAATTTCAGTTGGGCTTCAGACTGAATCAGCAGTAAAATTATGATAACTGGAGTTTTCTTTTTGATTTTTGGACAAAATAATATCCTCATTGCGCTGGAAGAGAAATCATTAGCATTTGCTACCCATAATTTTTCAAGACTATTCAGACTAGGTGTCCTTCAGATGAGGTGGGATAGAACTCTTGAGTTCTTAAATTTGCAATCCCAATCCAGTTGTAGAGTGGTACTTTGGGAAGATTCCTCTAAAATGCCAATGGACTCTTGTTTTTTCTACTTTCAAATAGCTAGTCAAGGAGCAGACCTTCCTTAGTGTTGAAAGAAAAAAATTCATCAGGGTCAAATCCAAGCTGAGAATAAACAATGGAGACTGCTTTAGAAAGAAGGTTGCAGTTTATTGAAGAGGAGAGTCAGACAGAAAGATGGCTCTAGGGAAAAACTGACCACATGTAGTAGGGAGTGGGTTTTTATACCTTCTTGGACTTTTGTTTGGAGTTGTTCCTGTGGCATGAACTTTGACCTGAGTCTGAGTGAGCCCTTCTGGTATTCTGATGGTGGTGGGTTAATCCTATTATGTCCCAAAGGTTATATCCTGCTTCTCTGGGGCTGTAGCTGATGAATGTTGGATTTGTTTGGTGTGAGAGATTGTTGATTCTAGGGATCTTTATCTTTCTAATCTCAGCTTCCTGACTCCAATCTTTCTGACATGATTATCACTTCTGCATTTTTGCAGGCCTGGTTTCTGTTTGGGGCAGAGAGACTTGGGCGGGGAGGGGGGGTTTCTGCCTTTAAGATCCTTTGGGGAAATATTCTGCCTTTTAATATTCCCAAAAATATTTCTTTCTCTGGGGGGAGCTGACTTCCCACATTAGCACAGAATATCACATGGACCATCTACTCAACTATTCTGCTTCTTCCTTATAAACCAATCCAGCATTCTGGTCAACACCTAAACAAACATAATAAGACCATAGAATACTGAATGATCATGGCATTTCCAGTTGATATTTCTTTCCCATGCCTCTGTTTCATTTCAGGAAGTTGATTATGAGATGAACCGAGCTTTTATGTTGACGGTGATGGTGTCCAATCAAGCTCCTCTTGCCAGCGGGATCCAAATGTCCTTCCAGTCTACAGCCGGAGTCACCATTTCAGTCACTGATGTCAATGAGCCCCCTTACTTCCCAACAAACCACAAACTCATCAGGCTGGAAGAGGGTGTGCCTACAGGGACAGCACTCACGACTTTTTCAGCAGTGGATCCTGACCGTTTCATGCAACAGGCTATCAGGTATGATGGTGGAAGGTAGAGCTCATGATTTTGAAGATCGTCAACATTTGAATGCCTGTGAACCACAGGTAACCAGAAAGGATGTAAAATAGATGGAACCATGTTACACACATGCATGGGAGTTGGGTTGGGTTCAGTTGGTTTTTAGATAAGAGGCTTATAGAACAGAGCTCACCAACCTTTTCATGCGGGCAGCCCGGAGGGAATCAGCTGAGAAATTTGCACGCGCACAAATCCACGTGCGCAAATGGGGCCGTGCACACCCACACGGGGCTAGCTGCCCCATTTGCACAGGCACTAGCTGCCACCGCTGCTAGCCCCGCATGCATGTGTCAACAGGCCGCACAACCCACACGGCTCTAGCAGCCCTGTTTGTGCATGCACACAGGTGCTAGCCACTGCTGCTGCTAGCCCCACACACATGTGCAAATGGGTCTGCAGGCTTTAGTGCAAGTGGGGGTGAGTGCACGCACACATGTGCCTGCACTGGCCAGCCTGTCCCCTGGCCCGGTGGCCAGTAGGCCACGGCCCTGCAGTGGGCTGCAGACCATAGGTTGGGGAGCCCTGTTATACAAGACAATATTTGTAGCTCAGGATTGAACTGTGGGGTCCTTGGCGCTCTCTGGGCTTGGTGGTTTTCTTGAAGACCTTTCATTACCAAAGTAGGCAATATCATCGGTTCTAGTGATGTTACCTAGTTTGGTAATGAAATATCTGCAAGAAAACCACCAGGCTCTGAGAATACCAAGGACCCGTCAGATAAGAGACTTGTTTGGAGCTTACATTACACTTGTATCTGTTTACTGCCTCAATACAGTACGGAACTGTGCTGCTGTTTTATTTAGCAGCTGTATTTGGAAAGGGATCTTGGAATTAAATAATTACTGAAATCCATTCCACCTTGTTTCTCATTGGCAAATCTGTGTCTTTGGAAACATCTGGCAATGCAAAATTATCCCACAGGAAGGATCAATAGCTTAATGGTTAGCCTCCAGTTTTGTATGATCTGGGTTTGAGGTTCAGTCCCTGACATTGCCAGGCAGATTTGGGGAAATTCTGCTCAAAACCTAGATTGTCAGGCAGTACTGACACTTAGTTCTGGAATAGATGGAGCAATGGTCTGGACTCAGATAAGATGATAGGGCTGTTTTTAATGTGCATCACACAGAAAAACTGGTGGAGCTTTCATTGAGCCATCATGGCTGAGATCATGACTGCTTTGAACTCTGGTATCAGTTCAAATTCAAAAGGTATGATCCTGGGATAAGATGCAGCTGCTTTAAAGGGTCACACACAAGTTCTACACTTTTTTCCTATTTCTTAGTCCAACGCCTGATAAAATGAATGTCAAAGTGGCTGGTTAATTATGCTCTGCATTTTGCATGATTTCCATGTTCCCAAGAAAGGACATATCTGATTCACCCATTACATTTTTGGATGTACATGTATTAAAAAAAGAGTTAGATGCACACCTCATAAATGAACTATCCCTGAATTCTGCTTAGTTCCAGCAACAGTTAAAGAGAGTGGCTGTAAGCATTGTCACAGACCTTCCATATTTTGAACATTCAGTACATTTAAATCCCAGTTGATTGTGTGGACCTGTACATTGAACAGTAGCCTAGAAAAAAAGGAAATTTAAGTTATCCTCCTTTGTCTCTTGATCCCACTGGCTATCTGTCTGTTCCTTTATTGCAAACATGAGATAAATTTGGCACAGTAGGAAGGTGCCCTGTAGAACTAGCACTGGGGCCAATTAAACTTTCATCACTTGTGTGACATTTTATAATCATTCAAGGGATGAGATATTTTAAGGGGGAATAAAGCTGTCTGGTGCAAAAATGACAATGGTTACTCATTGCCTCTGCTTGTTGGCACGGATTGGCCGTGGAAATTTTAAGGATGGAGGGGAATGTCTTAGCTAACAAGGCCATTTTTCTTCATAGTTCTGTTTTGCAATGGCTGGTCCTTCAACAGGGAGCTAATTTCTCTCCTACACCTGGACCAGCTTAGAGGTGACCCAAAGGAATGCAGTGAACCTGCCATCAGCTAAATCAATTTAGCACTGATTGATCTTACAAGGTGTACCTTGTGTTTTTTTTTCATTTTTAAAATAAACCCAAAGCAAGGTACAAACAATCATTTAACAAGATGAAGACAACCCAAAATTACAATGTTACAAAAAGTTTAACTTTATAACAATCTTAATTTTTTAAAAAAACTTTAAACATCAGACAAATATGCTAATCCAATCCAGAAAGCGCAGTTATCAATTTCTCTAACTTCCTGGATGAGCAGATAAATCTAATTATAGGTTGTACTAATTATACTGCACTGATACCTAGTTCTCTGCCTGCCTGTCTGCCTGCCTGCCTATCGATCTTTATCTATCTGTCTGTCTGTCTGTCTGTCTGTCTGTCTGTCTGTCTGTCTGTCTGTCTGTCTGTCTGTCTATCTATCTATCTACTGTATCTATCTATCTATCTACTGTATCTATCTATCTATCTATCTGTCTGTCTGTCTGTCTGTCTGTCTGTCTGTCTGTCTGTCTGTCTATCTATCTATCTATCTATCTATCTATCTATCTATCTCTGCCTGCCTGCCTGCCTGCCTGCCTGCCTATATTACCTATCTATCTATTTATCTATCTATCTATCTATCTATCTATCTATCTATCTATCT